TGTGCCACATTTGCACAAGAGAAAAAGGAAAGGGGATTTGCCTGGGGTCAGACTGAAGCCAGCAGGGTCCTTGCAGGGAGAGAGTCTGTCTCATAGGGAAAGCTAAAACATCCAGAAATGGGGCACAGCAAAGTGGCTCCAGCACCAGTTCATTCAGCACTGTTGTATGACTGGGACAGAGTTGTTCAGGTCCTAATTTCCCTACTTTTATAAAGCTGGCAATAGTGATAGAGCCCTCTCTTGGGAAAGTGCTGTTTCCAGATGTGCTGGCTCTGCAGCAATGCTTTCCAAGATGGGCTTGGTGTCTGACTGCCAGATCCAGCTCTTTGACACATTACAGAGAAGAAAAGGCAATAATCTCCACTCTCCTGAGGGGAATCCTTTCAAAGTGACTAGAAAGTCACCAGCTCTAGCCTGATGGCACAAATCACTTTGGTGAGCCTTCAGGTGTGTCCTGTGACTCCACTTTGGGTTCTGTTTGCTGAAAGGGAATCATTGAATCTCCTCAGAGATACCACAGAATCTCCCATAGCTGTCTGGACAATCTTCCTACAGGGAAACCCAAGTTGCTTGTGAATCAGCTCCTGAGCTGCAGGAGTTTACAGCACTGAACTTTAAAGAAAGCAAAAGCAGAAACAGTCTTTGGAAAGATTTGTGTACATTCTGGCAGCTCAAAAAAAAGCATCAGAGCCATGCATTCACACCCCACAAACAGTGGTTCACTGCTGACAGTTCTGGCACTGGCATCCCAAGCAAATCCATCTTCCAGCATTAATCCAAATGCCAGGTCTCTGAGGACTCCTTGTTTATTTAAGCCTCTCCTTATTTGAGACATCAGGCTTCCATTCTTAGCTGCTGGACTAGAGGGAACATTGAGGCCCAAATCCATAAAAAACCTGGATCTCTGTAACTTTTCCTTGCATCATGAGGAGTCATGTGCCATGTGCTGGAGTCAAGGGCCACAAAACTGTGAAGGGGCTGGAGCACAGATCTGATGAGGAGTGGCTGAGGGAGCTCAGCCTGGAAAGGAGGGACCTTATTGCTCTCTACAACTGTCTGAGAGGAGGCTGGAGCCAGGTGGGTGTTTGGGGGCTGCCCATCACAAATCTTAAGCTACCCAGATTCAAGTTTAGTATCCAGCTTCCATCATCCCTTATCCTTATGGAGATCTGGATCTGCCTGGACTGAAAGAACTTTGAATCTGGAGTCCCACCTTTTCCATTGTGAATGTTCCCCAGTTCCAGTTACTCCACACAGGGGAGCAGTACCTGCCTGTGTTTTCACATCCCAGATGGGAACATGCCATCACACCCACCCATGTGAAAGCTGTCTATGTTCACTGCCTGATCATCTGCCACACAGATCTCACGACATTGCAACTCTGCCCCATTTCACACTCCAGGTAAAGGAACGTGAGGGCAGCTCAAAAGAAGGATGAGTTTTCATTCAACAAAAGCTCCTGGCTTGTTTTTTTTAATTTTTCTCCACGTAGGCAGCCACAAACAGATGTCTCAGCCTCCTGGTACCAGTCACTCATTTAACAGCAGCTCTGCCCTGTTTGTACAGCACCCTTGTTCTCACACCCTTAACTCATCATTACACAGAGATAAATTATCAATGCTCAGCCTTGTGATGCTGCAAGGAGGGACTGATTCTTCAGGAATAAGGAAAACAGCACACGAGAGGGATCAAATCGCCAGCCCTGCACCATTTGGTAATGGTCTCGCTCTCTTTCAACAGGATCACATGTTTTTAAACCATCTAAGGGGGAGCAGTCCCTCACAACACGTTTTTAAAATGCGTTCACAGAACACGACCTTTTGCTTGTCTCTTTTCCTCAAGATGCCTCTATTCTACCTCTGATTCCATGCTGTGATGTTTAAGTCTCAACTTACACACAGCCTTGGAGTTTTTACCAGTTCTTTTGACTTCTACTTTTACCTCCTCCCAGCATCTTTTACCTTCTACTTTCCACAGCAAGAAAGAAAGGCTTTACAAAGGAGATGTGTAACCACAGAAATGTCACTGTCAGAAACTGTAAGAACTAAACGCTTTGAGCTATCATATTAAAAAGATCCCCAACCAAACCAAAAGTAATTTCCTAGCCCAAGCCAGCCCCTTGTTAGGGATCACAGTTTACCAATAGTTCAAAACAGATACAGCCTTTCCTGTTCACTTTTTCATACAGGTCTTTGTCACATCAGGGTGACCACCAGACCAGGGCCACAACCCCCTTGCAAAGTTCAGCCCCAATTTCAGCATCACACACACCCCACACACACTGCTCTCCCAAATCAAAGAAAGCCACTCTTGCCCAAAGAGACCCAAGGTCACAGCATAACACAGGAACCACGACCCTTCCCTAGTGATCTGCCTGGAATATAGAGAAAAAATTACACTTTCTACTTTATCTGGGACAAAAGGAGCAAAATAGGACTCACCACTGAATGTAGGCACCTCCAGAGCACACCCAAAGAAATCTCTTCCCCTTTCCTGAGCAAAAGAAAGACAGAGGCTGGCCCTTACTCCTGGTTTTAAAGGGTAACCCATCAGTTGATGGGTTTCTGATGCACTCAATAAGGCTGCTGGTCTTACTGCAGCTGACAGGAGGCTGATTACTCAGAACTGGAGCCTCTCTGCTATATGGAAGTGCTGTTTTTCTTTCTTTTTAAGAAAGAAGAGCACAGTTTATTGCAGACACATCTAAATCTCTTGTAACTGTTGCCTTTGCTAATGGTTTATTACCAGCTTGTGATGCTCTGGGTGAATAGAAATTTTTTATTTAATTATTTGGGTCAAAAGAGCAACAGGTGAACTCACTTAACAATGGATGGCTAAAAGCAGCCAAATTACCTACACATTGCAATTAGGTTAAGGGCAACCAGCTGATTTGGCTTTTGTAAACAGCTGTTTCTTTTGACTGCAAAAAAAACCTGCCTGAATGATTAATTAGGGTTAGGTGTGACAGATCCCACCCCTTGTCTTGTTGCATTTTGGTGCCTGATGTTTTGAAGAAACCCTCTCGGTTTCAGAAACAAATCCAAGGACTATTTCATCTGCTTTAGCATCTTGTGTAAGACAGAAGCCAGCAAAAATTGTTCACAGGAGCTTTAAAGCCCAGCCACTGAAGTCATAGAATCATAGAATTGTTTATGTTGGAAAAGACCTTTAAGATCCTCAACTCCAGTCACTAATCTAATACTGCTGAGGCCACCACTAATCCACGTCTCTAAGCACCACATCTGCATGTCTTTTGAATTCCTCCAGGGATGGTGACTCAACCATTTCCATGGGCAGCCTCTTCCAGTGTCTGACAAGCCTTTTGTCCAAGAGACATTTTTCCCAATATCCAGTCTAAACCTCCCCTGGTGCAGCTTGAGGCTTTTTCATCTTGCAACTTACTATTGCTTGTTACTGGGGAGAAGAGACTGTTCCCCACCTAGCTACAGCTCCTTTCAGATAATGTAGAGAGTGATAAGGTCCCTCCTGAGCCTCCTCCTCTGCAGGCTGAACACCCCCAGCTCCCTCAGCTGTTCCCCACATGACTCACTCTGAAGACCCTTCACCAGCTCCATTGTCCTTCTCTGGAATTGCTCCAGCAGCTCAATGTCCTTTTTGTGACAATCCCTTTTTGGGATTGTGAAGGGACAAGAACTGAACCCAGGATTTGGGGTGCAGTCACCACCCTGCTCCTGCTGGCCACACCATTCCTGATCCAGGCCAGGAGCCATTGGCCTTTTTGGCCACCTGGGCACACTGCTGGCTCATGTTCAGCCAGCATCTCCAGGTCCTTTTCCAGCAGGCAGCCTTCCAGCCTCTCTTCCCCAGTTGTGTAGTGCTTCATGGAGTTGTTGTGACCCAGGTGCAGGACCCAGCTCTTCATCTCGTTCACCCTCACACAAGTGGCCTCAGTCCCTTGATCCAGCCCCTGCAGAGCCTTTCTACCACCCAGCAGGTCAACACTCCCACCCTGCAAACTGCGGGTGCATCCATCCTCTCTCGATGGAGATCCAGATCATTGGTAATGATATTAAACACAACACCCAACCCAAAGAGAAGATCTGTCTCTAAATCCCCTGTAAGTTTGAGTCTTGTGTGTGTCCTGAAGGAAGAGAATTTAATATTCCTTGCAAAATCCCTGGCTTTTGGATAATCTACATTATTGTAGCTCTGGACAAGCTTGTTTTGCACAAAAATACCGGTTATTTTTTTAACCTTGCTGAGCTCTTGAACATAGCAAATATCTTGTGCCTATTAATTCCACAAAGCTACTGTGAGGGGAAACTGGGTACTCTCCACAAGTTTAAAACATGCAACTTTGACTCTTTCCCAGGCTTTCTAGATAAACCCCAGGGAGAAGACAGCATCCCATTGGACACAGATGTGTCTGTTGGTTTAGCAATTGTAATGGTTTGAAAGCAAAACCAGTGAGAGACTCCAAGTCAGAAATACAATTTAATAGGAAAAAAAGAGAAAAATATAATACATGCAATAGTACAAAAAAACCCCACCAATGACAAGGTCAGAATGCAACCTGACACCCTGCTAGTTAGGGTGGTGGTAGCATTCCAGATAAAATGGTCTTGTTGAAGTAGTGATCCTGTAGAAAGGTCTGCTAGCTCTTGTCCTCTAGAATCCAGTGGGTAAAGGTTGCCTTGGTGTTCCAAATCTCAGTTTTTATCTGGGTGAGAAATGTTTGGCTCCTCCCCCTGGGTGGAGCATCTCCCAATGGGATGATGTGATTTTATCAGTCTTGCAGTGGGACTCAGTGACCCATTAACAGGAGATATCTCCTGGAGGAAGGATGGGTTGTGGAAAAGATAAAGAACACTGCCCCAGCTGGTTTTAACAGCTGGCCCATCAACAGAGGATATCTCCCATGGAGATGAGGATCACTGCCCCACCTGGTTTAACAAATGGTGACAGAACACACACTTTAGGGCACATCTTTACATTGTATCCTAGGACAGCAATGCAGGTGATTCCTCCTGTCTCTGCAGGGCATGAATCCTCACCTCCGGATCAACGGGCCCATGAACATCAACCACTACGCCACCAAGAAGAGCGTGGCAGAGAGCATGCTGGATGTGGCCCTGTTCATGGCCAATGTCACCCAGCTCAAAGCTGTGCTGGAGCAGGGCACGTCCTTCCAGTACTACTCCACCCTCATCGTGCTCATCAGCATCTCCCTCTTCTTCCAGGTGATGATTGGGATTCTCCTGATCGTCACTGGTAAGGTGGCCACCGAGGCAGGGTGCTGCAGGGGCAGGGTGCCCTGTGGGTTGGTTGGTGTGGGGGTGGGAGGGAGAAGCCTCTTCCCCCAAACCATTCCCCTCTGGCTCCATCCAGGGCTGGATGTGGGTGGTTATGTTACTCAGAATAGTGGGTGGGTTGTTTTTTTGTCTGCACATCTCTGAGCACAACTCTTCCTTCACTTCCCCACTGCTGGCCCCTGTCCCAGTGACAGAGTGGGGATTTGGCCAAGATGGGCCTCTTGCTGCCCCTGCTGTTATGTGCTCCTTCATGCAGCTCTTGCAGACTCTACATTTTAGCTGTATTTTATATCTTACTTCGTCTGGGACTTAACAGAACATTTTAGGCAGAGCTATTCCCTATATTAATCTCACATTTAACCAATCCCACAGTTTTCCTAGTGGCCTACAGACAGTACATTAACACCAGCATTGGTTTTCTGATGCTTGCTCAGTGCTCCATCCAATACAGGAATTGCTGTATTTCAGTCTCCAACAGGTCCCAGTATTAAAAACCTACAGAATGCTGCATTTTCCTGTATATCCTACATGAGGTTTTATGGGAGACAGAGGATTGGGGGCTTTGGAAAATCTGTGATGTGCTCCTTCCCCTGTCACACACACCACAGCTTTTCCTGGTGGGAGCTGTGGTGGGAGGAGAAAGGGGACACGGGGCTACAACCTGGCTGCTGTTTGCATGGCTTATTGGCCAGACAGTCCTGGCAACCAGGGTATTGCTGTGCCTGAAGGGATCAATGTCCATCAGCCAGGAGCTGCTCCATTCATGTACCCAGGGCTGACTGCTGTGTCACCACACAGGTGACATCTGGGTGTTAGGAAGGACTGGGGTCCCAGTGCAAGCAGAGCACAGTTTACCTTGTCTTCTGTGTCTCATTGTGTTCCAAGGCCATGCAGTGTTGGAGGGCACCATGGCATGTGTCTGGCTAGTGTGCAGCAGTAACTTGCCTTTTTAGGGTTGACCCATTGCAGGGCCACAGCACCTCCATGGCAAAACAAAGAATTTTGCCAAAAAACCAAAACAAGGTGAGTTTTTCTCTGCTCCAGCCTTGTATATCATCCTAGAGCAAGCTGTGGCTCCTGTAGCATTCCTGTGACTTCTCCCTCTCCTTTGTGGCCTCAGCACTCAGGGGCACCATGAACATTTACCAGGCAGGGGAGGCTTGCAGGAGCTGGGCACTTGGAGTCCATCTGCAAAGCCCATTCTCTTTTTGCATTGCATTGCACAGCTCGTTTGAACCTGAATGACATTGCAAAGCAACCCCGCCTGAATATACTGAACAACACTGCCACAGCTCTCATCTTCATCACAGTCATCCTCAACATCTTCATCACAGCCTTCGGGGTGCAGAAGACTGGCCTCTACCCCAGCAGGAATTTTGGACCTTATTAATTAATGGGGCAATGGACTGAGGTAAGAAAGGGTGAGTTCCCATCACTGCCAGCCCCTGGCAGGGCTCTCAGTCTCAGAAAACATCACTGCAAAGTGAAGGCAAAGCTGCACAAATTTAAACAAAGCCTTTCCAGAGGCACGTTGCTGTCCCACAAGAGCCTGTGGCCGATGAACAAATTCCCTCACAAGAGTTCTCCTCACTTGGTCTCTAAAGCAGGAACACCAAACATCCCAGTTGCTGGGATTTATCAGCAGCAAGTGGTTTTGAGAAGGCTGCAGAGCTCATGCTAGATATGAATAGCAATTGTGGATGGGAGCTAAATTTGGGGAAGAAAATTAGGTGTGTTCTGGGAGGAATCCCAAGGCAGCAGCACTATCTGAGCAGAATAAAAGGAAGGTGCTGGGCAAGACAGAAGGGGGAAGAGCTCTTTACAACAGCCCCTGTGGTTTGGCTGGGACTGTTTTAAGCACCTAATGCTCATTTTCAAGGAAGCCCTGTAAATAAGAGCTCATCCAAATGTTGGGTTCCCATGTCACATCAGTGAGGGAATGACATGTTCTTAAATCAAAAGCACTTCAGCTGAAGAAGCAGAATTCACACTTCTTGCTTACATGACCTGAAAAATGTAAACACAACTTAAATGCAACAAGAAAGCTCAACAGACACATGCTATGGTAAGGATGGATGCAAAGGCCAAAAGCCCCTAGAGAAACATTGCTGGTTTGGGATGCAGAGAGAGGCAAGGGCTGAAGAGCAGCACCCCACACATGCAGGGGCAGCTGTGGTGGCTGTGCCTGCTCCTCTCTGGCCATGCACACAGAGGGGTCTGAGCTCACCTTGCTGATGTTTCTTCTCTTCCCTGCAGGCTCTGAGCAGTGCAGCTCTCCTCCACGCTTCCACTGACCTCAGCAGGAGCCCATGGATGAATCCAGAAAACTGGGTTAAACTTCAAAACTCTGTGTGTCATAGCATTCCTGGCACCCTTACTCTCATGCTTTTGCAGTTCTGAGAGGTGGGAACATTGCCTTTCCAAGCTAGAGCAAACTTTGCAAGAGAAAACTGCAGGAACAGCAGCAGGTATACATTTTAAAAGTGCAGTTCTGTAAACCTCTTTTCTTATTTTAGCTTCCTGCTTCACATATTCAATATTGGCTCATTTGGTAGAGAAGAGTGAATGATTTGCTTTGTAGGCTAAAGAAGTAAGTCCAGCTTTTTTTTGGTCTCAAACCTAAGTTGATGAAGCAATTGTACCTAATAGTTTACCTCCCAAATGTTGGAATGGATTTGTCAAAACTAAAAAAGAAGTTTTCCTAGGAGCATAGAATGGTGTGTATATGTGAAGATAGCTAGAACCAGTTCAAATGTTTTCCTACTTGTTTAAAATTACATGTGACATAATTAAGAAAACAATCAGATATTTCCAGCACTGGAATATTAACAAGGACAGAAAATAGTTATTGTGGTCTGATGTCATCATCAGGGACCTATCAGGAATGATGTCAGAATAGCCTGACAATATTTAGTAGAAAATGAAGAAACATTATACATAAGGACACAGCCTGGGCTTATTACCACAATGAAAAATTACAACTGAAGAGCTTATTACTTTATTTTAAAAATCACCATTATGATTTCTTCTCATCACTAATATCAATGTTTTAAAATGTATTTGGTTTATAATGAGAGCTCTGGTAATTATCTTGTATTAGAACAATTTGTTTCCTTAAAAAAAATCCTTTGAATTAATGAGTTTCAAGATTTTTATGAAAGAGTAAAAATTTTTTGATCCTAAATTTTTAACTCTATAGTCATGCTAAAAAATGGTATTTTAATAGTCCTATGTAAGCCTATTTAAATAATTACATGCTCTTTTGATTATTAAATGATTTTTCCATTGTACTGCAGAATCCGGAGTTTAATATGGAGTTCTCATTTTGTATATCCTTGCCACCCTCGAAAGAGAAATGCCCTGAAAGCATCCTCACACCAGTCTTCAGGAGCTACTGGGAGTGTCTGACACTCAGAAACAGATACAGATAGATTTCATTTGTATTCTGTATTTGACTTTACAAAACCAAATTTGTCTCAGTCACATGTGGTGCTTTTTCTGAGAGGGTGTGAATGATCTTGCCCACGAAGGTGTGGGTAAGGCCACGGGCCAGCAGTGACTTCTCTGAGCTGAAGAAAAGTTGCATAAAAAGGGTAGGGTGGAAAATACCAGTTATGTATTTACCAGAACCTGAAGTGGCAAAGCTGAGCACAATCTGAGATGTGTTTGGGGAAGCAGGCAGAGACTTGTCCTACACTTTGTCTCAGGGATGACAGCTCTGGGGTGACTCTGAGTCTGCTGCTTAACTTGGTCCTCAGCCTTTGCTCTGACTGGCAGCAGAGAGGGGTGGATGTTTCTGGGAAGTTATCCCACCTCCTCTAGAAAAATGCTTCACTCCAGAGGTGGCAGAATGAGTTGCAGGCACAGCAAAAGCACAAACCAAGGGCTGTCAGCCACTACTGGCTGGCTGGGCTCATGGAAAGGTAAAAAATTACATATCCTGCACTCAGACCCTAAACCCTAGGACTCATTGCTTCATGGAGCACGAGGCAAAGCAATTAGCACTGATGACTGAATGTAAAGAGAGGGAAAAATAGAAAATATTCAGTTGAGAAAGAAGCACTGAGGGGAATTTCATTACCAGATCTTAACTTCATCATTGTTCAGAGAGCCATTGGATTGGGTAGGGCAGCATGTGAGGTCTGTGTGAGCAGAGGGGGATTCCTGACACTCATCCCAAAAGACTGGCAGCACACTGGAATACTTTCCCGCCACCTCCTTTAATATTAATAATTTCTTGTTATAGTGAAATCACACTCATTAGCAACCTTGGCTGCTTTTTTCCCTCTTTGTGCGCGACTCCCATTGCTGCCAAGCTTTTGATACTGAAAGAAGGCACAATTAAAGTGAAAATGGGCCAGAACTGAATCCAACGGAATAAACAGTTGCTGTGAAAGAGCTGACCTCCCATTTGTGTAAGGTGTGACAAGCACTGAGCTCAGGTCTAGGCTCCCACCTGTGGTCTTCTCCAGGAACTGTCCTCTGTTTGCCAGGAGGAACACTGTGTTTTCCACATTCTCCCATCACAGCACACTCATGCTTTGCTGGAATGTGTATCTGTCCACTGTTTCCACCTTGTTTCACATGACAAACCCACGCAGACAGGAGGAAAGCTGTGCTGTTGCCATCCCATTTTGTGCAGGGCTCACTGCTGGCTCACCTTGCCCACTGCATCTCCCAGCCAGCCCTTGCTGCAGAGCTCCTGCTGGCTTGGGCACAGAGTGAGTGACCTCTGCCTCTGGTCCTGCCTGTGCTTTCAGCTAATGGAGACAGAGGAGCACACCTGGATTCTAATCCCTGCTGCACACTGATGTGGGTGCAAGTGAACACACAGACAGAAGAGAGCTCTTGTAGGAAGACAATGTATTTATAAAACACGAGGGAGAATCTGTGTATCCCCCAGCTCCAACAGAGAGGTGGCCCAGGAGTCGTCTTGAAGGCACAGAGCCACTTTAAGGCAGGTAACTCAAAGGTACAACTCAGATTTTCAACACAAAATATGAAAAACAATCAACTTCAGACATTTGTAGGCAGTAAGGAGAGATGTTCATACCGGGCAAACATTAAGACAATGATGAAACAAACCATAATTTTCACACAATACACTTTGCTCAGATTAAAAGCCAGCCCTTTCTTCATTCCCTTGCTGGCCTGCAAAGCAAACCTGAGCACCACACTTCAGTCCTGAAGACACAGTCACATTTGTAGGCAGAGTCCCCTTGTCCTGCACCTCACACATGGTGGTCCAGACTCCCCAGCCTGGTCACATCCTACCCTGGAGAAAATCTCTTTTGCAGCACTGTCCATCATTTCCCCAGCCACAGAGCTTCCAGAGCAGCTTGCTCCTGGCCTGACCCAAGGAAAGTCCTATGCAACTTCCTCCAGCTGTCCAGGATGCACATGAAGGCCAGAAACTCCAGCACAGCTTCCTAAAAAGATCCTGGTGACAGAAATGTGACCAGCTGTTGAGGGGAGTCAGCTTCCTGGCCATGTTCTCTCACTGCATGGCTGAGGATCTGCTCCTGCTCTGCTTCCTGCTCTCCCCTCTTGGTGACTCTGTCTGGGGACAGAAACTGCAGCTTGCTTTGGAAGAGGGGCAGCAGCCTCAGAGTGAAGCCCAGCACTGCTCCTCAGCAAGGTTTGCTGCTGGCCAGTAAACTGGGGAGTGTGGAGCCCCTTCTCTCCCCACACCCTGCACTGAGGTCTCTGAGCATGTGGGCTGGAAGACTTTTTGTTCCCATGGGCTCCCCAAGCTCCTCCATGGGGGCTGCCAGCTAGTGCCAATTAGTATTAATCACACTTACTACTGCTTGGATACCAACTGAGAATTCCCACTGAAAGGGAAGAACACTTGAGATGGCAGCTTCCACAGTGGGGAAACTGGCCATTGGGAAACTGGACTGAAAACCAGTGACTCCTTACATCTCCACCAAGGAGTCTTCACGAGGTAGTTCTGCTTACCACTGGCCTGGGTTCCAAGGTGTGAAGGAAGGAGTACAGCCAGTCACAGCTGAAAAATGGGAGGAAACCCTCAAATTCCTCTGGCAGTGCTGCAGTGAGGAGTGCACCCTACTGTCCAAGCCACTCTCTGCTGGCTGTCCTCTGTGATGGGGAAGACTCATGGCATTTATACCAAGTGAGTTCCCTTCTGGATGCACCTAATTCTTGCCAGTGTCTGCAGATGGATGCCAGCTGATAACCTGGGGTGCTGCAGACCACATCCATAGCCAGATGTGGAAGCACAGGGTACAAATAACTCCTCCTCCCCGTGCTTGACTGACAGGCTGCCACCAAATCCAGCAGTTCTCCATCTGCAGAGTGGGCACCATGCTGCTCCCAGCTGCTGCTGCTAACGCCTGGCCGTGTCCCTGCACTCGGCCTCTCCCCATTCCACAGGCATTGCGTGACACTGCCAGCCTGGACAAGCTGTGCAGGCACAGTCCTGGAGCCTGGAAAGCAGCTCACCTGCACACTCGTGGAGTTGTGCCTGTGTCTGAGGGAAGCACAGGCTCTGACTTGCACTGAGAGCATGACTGACACTGCACATTCCAGACAGGGCTTATTGCAACATTGCATCACAGGGATCCGGTCTCCCAAACTCCTATAATACTTAAAATTAAAAAAAAATTCAAAAAAAGTGTTGACTGTTGTCAGCCTCCTCCCTATCAGCCCAACTGCCATGATTTAATTTAGTATCTGCATGGGTAAATTATTTTCCCTCAACAGGAAGACTACCCTGGCTTGGGCAGCTGGCTGGGGCTGCCTCTTCTGGGATATTCAGTGTCTCCATTCTGGCAAGGCAAAGGCTCCAAGGATTCAGAGACACAGCCACCTCCTGTCTACTGCTCACCACAGCTGCACACTGCACAGCAGAACTTTCTGGTATCTGTTTGACTTTTTCTCAAATCCATCACTCACAAAACCCAGACTGATGCAAACAGATGATTTGACACGATTTCCATCTCACGTGCCAGAACTTGCATGTTCAGTTTTCTACTGCAAGAGTGGAACTTGATGGACTTGACAAGCACCACAGGCCCAGTAATAAATGAATGCCTGGTCTGAATTGGCATCTACTCCATCAGCAAAGAGCAAAAACTTCTAGTACCAGTCAGCTTTGTCTGTATTCTGCACACATCCATTACTCCTTCCCAGCAACTCCCCACAGAACTGGGCACCATGAGCAGCATCCTATGTCACACTCTCCTCCTCAAGGTTGAGACCTTTCAGCATGGTATGGGGACACTGAAGCTCCAGTGTAAAGCCCTGAGTGAGCTGGGATTTCTGGGTTCATATAGTCTCCTAAAATGGTTATGGGGTAAAGAAAATCTTGCCTTACATTAACAAAACTTAACTTACATTAAGTTTTAGGGGATAAGACTTCCCTGTAGCACCTGGCCAGCTGTGGGCTCTCTCCACAGTTCTTGCATCAATGACAGCAGGGGTTTGTCCATCCCTTTGTTCACTCAACCCTCTTCTGTCCTCACCATTCGTTACACCCAGTGCCTGTGCCAAGTCCTGAGGACACCTCCTCTGTACCAGGCCAGAGCTACCAGGGCTGTTCCAGAGATGAAGCACCAACAGCTGTGCTGGTTCTCCAAACAAGAAGCCTCTCTACATAAAATTCAAACTACAACAAGACACAACTGTGAGGCCATAACTTATTAAATTAACTTTTAGATGCTGCATAAATGTACAGGATTTTGAGAGTGGAAGACTCTGTCTCCTCTTCTGACAAATCACAACATTTCAACTAATAAAATATTGCCATTTCTTCCCTGCTAGGGTTTCCCTGATATTGTTAGGACAAACACATGTCTGTCAGATAAGGCTGGAAAGTTCCTCCTGAGATGCTCTGTTAGCTTCTCTGTAACCTCCACCACCCTCGGGCAGTGGGTCAATAATTTAGGTGGAATTGTAACATCACCCTTGCCAGCTCACCTAGCTACAGGCAAACGTGGCTGTTGTAAGAGAAACGTATTTGCAACTCCATCCATGGCCCATAAATTGCTGAACATGAGCACAGTTTTTCATAATGACCAAAGTGAAAAGCACAGAGAAACATCCAAGCACCAGCAGCCTAAAGTGCCTGTCAACTCCTCTGCATCCAGATTTCCTTAAGTCAGCACATGGGCATGTGGGTGCAATACTGATCAGAGAATTTTGGTCCCCTGTCCAAAATCATGGGTACTGGAGAGATGGCAAAGGAGAGGAAATGGGGATCGTTGTGGATTCTTGGTTGTGGATTCTTTTGCTTTTTTTTTCTTTTCACTCAAGTTTTGAAAGAGAAGCCGTGTTGCCCTAAATAAACCATTCTGGGCTTAGCTGGGATTTGTGTTTGTTTGGTGCAAGACTCAACAGGAAACAAGGCACCTCTCCCACTGTACCTTCCACCAGACTGCACGGCAGGAAATACAAGTCCTTCCCTTGCTGACATCTCCCCCACACACCTTCCCAGCCACACACGGATCCCACGTCCTGGATGCAGAGGCTGACAAGGGAAGCTCCTGCTCCGCCAGCCTGGTCACTCCTTCCTCAGCTGTGCCGCGCCATCAGAGGGCTCTGGAGGCAGAGGAAGGGTTTGGGCACTCAGCTGTGTGCCCCAGTAAAGTGCACATCTGGATGAGATGGTGGACAGTGCTGCTGAACAGCTCTGGGGATGAAGGCTACGCTGTCTTCAGCTGGCGCCGGTTCCACATGCCCCGCTTTGAGTGAAACCAGTGGAAAAAGTTCCTCAGGGACAGACGTTCCACTTCCAGCCCAGCCTGTAAGATCCTGGCAGAAAGAAGAGCAGACTTAGGGAAAATTTCATCACAAAGATACTGAGGGACTCAGCCCCAGGTAAACTATTTTTTAAGTTGTGTTGTTGGCAAGAGGCTGCAAGCAAACTGGGTCGTCGAGAATAGCTCAGGGGTATCCCTGTATCCATAAGCAGGAATCTAATGATGCTCTCTGAGTGTTTATGCACCCTTGAGAGCAGGACTGGCCAGGAGGAAACATGGCTAGCAGCACTGGGTTGCAGTCAGCTGACAGAAAAGACAAGACAGGGCCCAAACCCTACAACTACAAACCCAGAGGCCCAGGATTTGTGCAGCAGAGATCCCTCATCACGAAATCCTCAGAAATTTGAACTGTACCTCATCGTCTTTAAATGCCTCTCCACCAGTTGGTCTTCAAGGCAATTCAATTGCTAAATGTTACATGGGAAATGTGAGAGACTCAGACTGTGCTCTGCAGTGCTTGAAGAGGACAAAATCTTCACAACCACCAGTGCCTGATCTACATGAGACCAACCAGCAGTGTGGCTGGAAGGCAGCAGAAGCAGCTCTTCTCTTACTAGTGGCTGCAGTAGAGTGTTTTGTGTCTCCTCACCTACTAGGTTTGAGGTCAGGATATGCTCAAAGACTCTCCCTCATTGGCCAAGGTTATAGTCCAAGCAGTCATGTCAATCTCCTTAGATCCCCACTCCCAGGATTGGATGGGCTTCCCCTCCTGAGCACTTGAACAGTGACAGTGGATGCCTACCTGTCCAGGAGTTCCCAGTCCTCTCCTCCCCAGCGGTCCCGAAACTCTTTTGTGTTCATGCCTCCAATTTTGTCCAGGTCAGACTTGTATATGCCCAGGAGACCAAACCCATTCACCTCCCAGTAGCCTGAAGAGAGCACAAAAGAGGCACAGCTTTGTTGGGGTTTTGAACCATTGATGGCTCCAGCAGAGCTGCTGGAGACTCAAGCTACTTTTAGCACAATGTTGACACCAGGGACTAAACTCAGCACCAAGGCAGAGCCAACCATGCCAACCAGCTCTGGGAATGAGAAAGGCTTGTGGACAGACAGTATGGCCTGTCCTGTCAACTTCTAGCAGAGCCTCTCATATCTCCTGTCTGGCAACACAATTCCTGGACTGTCTCAGCTTCCCATGGCTGTCCCTGTGCCTGGATGCCTCAGGATGGTCACCTTGGTCTAAAGGAAATCCTATCTGTACCACTTTTCTCTCTCCAACTCAGCTTGGTTTCCCTCCCCCCTGGTCTTCCAGCTCTGCTCAGGACAGGCTAAGAAAAGAGAGATATGGACAGACAGGAATAAAGGATGGTTTTTCCAAGGTCCTTAAATCCATAAAGAGCCCTAGGAGACAACCAGGAGAAACATCAGAAAAAGGGCTCTGCTAGCTTTTTGATCTCAAATTCCAGGTACCTGATGCTGTTAAACTCCATCCCATGTCTACCACACACTCACCCTGTGGACCTGGAAGTACCTCAAGCTCCACACCAGTGCCAGAGGAACAAATGTAGAGGAGGCAGGCACTTTCTTCTTTCCCCCATTTTCCCAAAGTCTGAGCCCTCTTACCATCAGGCCACTGTGGGGACATGCCACAGTGCAGCCTCATGACCATGGGTGCAAAGGCCATCTTGCCTTCCACGCAGTGCTTCCTGATGGCATCAATGACTCCAGCTGGGAAGTGGATGTGGAGGTCACACAGGAAGACAATGCTGTGCGGGTCCTGGAACCGATTGTACCGGTTGGGAAAAAAACAGGTTGACTTTCAGTAAATCTTTCTTGAGGGGCAGGAAGAGAGATGGGAGTCAAAATCTCATTACTGCCTCAGAAACTGAGATCCCAAGGGCTGGAAAAACGTCCACTGACATTCAATGACGAGTGTGAAATACCATGACTGTGACCTGGCAGAGCCAGGATCACAAAGCTGCTACTGCTGATTTCCCTCGTGTCAGACAGTCCCAGCAGGTGGACCAAGAATCAAACAGAGCACAGAATAAAGAGACCCTTACTCTGGAAGGCCAGGAAACACATGTACATTTGAACTGCTCTGTGAGGCTATTCCCTTCCCTAAAAACCCGTGTGTTCAGTACCAGAGGCAGCAGTAACACCAGACACACACCACAAACTTCCCCACCCACCCAAGGCTCCCCAGACTCACCTTGATGAGGTCTATCCCTGCCTGGAGCCCAGCAGAACGCTCAAAATTCCCTGTCAGCTTCAGGTACTGATAGCTGGGGGTCAGAGGGGAAAGGGAATTTCAGTGGCACCGCAGGCAGCCCCACACCAGCACTGGGCTGTGGAGCTGCCCTCGCCCTGTGCACCCTCTGAAGCACAGGAAACCTTTGCTGGGGGAGTGCACAAAGCCCAGCACTGCTCCTGGTCCCAGTGTGCCCCGAGAGTCTTCCCCCTGAGCAGAGCCTAGCAAAACTCTTCTCAGCTCTAGCCCTGCTCTGCTCTAGGACTAGATCTGGAAACTCCTGGCACTTAATAGAAATGACCAGCCAAGGCTGTTTCAGATCAGAGCAGGGTCATTCCAGCAAACAGAGCTCTCTGTCCCACTTCTCACAGCTTTCTTGTCTTTTCTGTCCTCCCCCTGCCCCATCACTGGGACACTTGCTTTCTCTTCTCTCTTGCAATCTTGAAAAAAGAGACAAATACAATAAATTTAGCTGGAAAACTACACCAGGTATTGCCTTACACTTTTCTAACACTGTTCCATGCACATATGTGTATGCACATCATAACAAAACCACATTCTTGTGTATGTGCAAGGCTTGGATGGATGGTGCCTGTGGTGCTCCAGCTGCAGCAGGCTGTGGCTGGCCAACACACAGAGACTGTCAGGTGTGCTATTTGCCAGCATATGTGTGTGAGTGCCTTTTTGTGACCAAGCAGTACTCTCACCTGTGCAAGGTAGACCTTTTCAGAGCCTTCTCTACATCCATGTCATCACTGCTGTAGTCTGTGATGATGATGCTGAAGTAGGGATCCTTGGTGACTCGGAGTAGCTCTTCCATGTCAGAGATGAACTGCAGCACCCAACGTGCCTGGTTTTTCACTGGTTGTATTGCAACAGGGAGAGAATCAAAACAAACTGATTTCAGCGGTGGTGTTTTTTTCTCAACAGGCAAGGTTTCTTGCCTCCTGTTAAACCCCAACAACCTTTCAGGGATGATGAAATAGGCCCAGGTCCACAGAGCTAAGGAATTTCCCACCATGTGAGAGAGGTTTTCTCTGAGCTTATAAGCCATGCCTGCTATCGTATTTCTGAGGGCATTTAACTTGGAGAGAACAGAAATTGCAAGTGACCCAAGCAAGATGACTGAGACCAGCTCAGACCCATGTCCAGGACTGCCCTCGTGGAGCAATATCCTGGAGAGGCAGCTCCCCTTACCTGGCACCACGAAGTGAACCACAGCCCGGTGATTCCAGGAAAACCCTTGGGGCCAGCACAGCTCGGGCTCGTTGGCCGCAGCCATCAGGCGCCGCCGGCGGCCCCACACCAGGCTCCTCATCCTCCTCTCGTCCTCGTGGCCGGCGCTGCCCTGCCAGCCCCGTGCAAAGACGTACTCGGAGAGGCGGACACGGCGCTGGCCCTGCTCCAGCAGCTCCAGCAGCTCCAGCTCCAGCAGGAAGCGGCTGCCGCGAACGCGGTCCTGCCGCTTCTCCACGTTCACGATGCGCCGCAGCTGGAACCGCCTGCGGAGACACACCCGGAGTGGGAGCATCCCGGCCACCGGCCCCTCTCCCTCCTCCAGCCCTCCTTCCTTTGGGTTACCACAAACCTTTCTGTCCCCGGCTTCCCCCCCCACTTTGCTTCAGAGGTGCCATGGGAATGTTTAGCACCTGTCTCTCCTAAATCCGCAAGTGGCTGGGATTCCAGCCAAGAGAAAATATGTGGCGAGAGAAGTGAAATAAAGGTGACACGGAAAATGACAAATGTGCCTGAATGATTGTGTAGGGCTGGTAATAGTGAGTGTATTCAACACCACCTACAATGAAGTTGGCACAAGGACTATGTTTGGGCTACTGAAACTGGCTCACGACAGCTTATCAAACAAGAGTATGGAGTAGGACCGAGCAATCATACAGTAAAAACTGTCAGGAGCTGTAGATTCAGAATGGCCAAAAGTGGATGAAATGCCAGGTCATGGCCTTTTGGATCAGAACAAGTTTCCCGGTGAGTTAAAAATCCTGAGAAAATCTTGTGTGTACTGATTAGTTACACCTGGCTGTGACTGGTGTGACCCTGAAAAAGTAAATGTGATCTTAATATTAGCATTAGACCTACTTCCAGCTAATAACACCCATTCCATAAAACACCCAGGATACTGGTCACTTATGTATAGGAAGACTAACACCAACTGAAGCCTGCATAGAAAAAGACTGGTAAAAAAATCGTAAAAATTAAGGCTAGCCCAACAGAAGGGTCAGGAATTAAGATTGTTTAGCTTATGGAGGCTAGAAGAAGTGTGTCTGTTTACCAGAAGTGATGGTAAGTCTTGAGAAGAACCATACCAAGAACCATACCAAGACCACGTAACAAAAGAGTACCAGCTTTTTTGCTGGTAGAAATAGGCTTCTTTGCCTATTTCTCAGGCAAAAGAAGTATGCCTAAAGTCCAGTGTTTGACACTGATTCCTTGCCTGAAATCTTATTTACCACATCTAGTTCATCCTCTTCTTCCCTGATACCAATTACATAACTCAGAGATATTCCCCAAGCAATGTGGTAAACCAGCTCTGGGACAGTGCCCCTTGGTTTTCCCACTGTACCTTACCCTTTACTCCTCTGGTTGAGTTTCCTCAGGAACACACGTGTAACTTCCAGGGCCTCACTTTCTCTGAGCAGCAGATTTCCCGAGGTGTTGCATTTCAGGTCGATCCAGTCTGTGCGCAGCATGTGGAAGTCCAGGTTGCTCATGCTGAAGGTCTGTTCCCAGTTGACAGCCTGGTCAAACACTGGTACGTAATCAAAATCCTCCTCATCTTCCTCCTCTGGCTCTCCATCCACCTCTTCCTCCTCTGCTGCTCCTCCAGACTTGCCCTTCAGAGGAGAGGCCACCTGTACCTCTCCTTCGCCCACATCCCTGTTGGTGGCCACCTCATTAGCCATGTAGGGCTGGACCTGGCTCAGCCACTGTGGCAGCCTGGGCTGCTGGCTGGGGCTGGCAGTGCTCACTGTGTGTCTCCTGCCTTTGACAGAGTCTGGACCTCCTTTCCCAGCTGGCACGGTGCCTGCTGGCTGCAGCCTGTCCTTTGTAGTGCTGAGGCCGCCTCCAGGTCCTACCCCCTTGGGAATTGGGACCTCTGAGGCCCTGGGGTGGCCAAGAGACTGCTGAGACACAGTCCTAGAAGGGGGGTTTGCCCTTCTGGCAAGCACTCTCCCCTGGATGGCCCTGGCATGCTGCGGAGGGCTCCTGGAATTGTCTTTGACACCAGCTTTCAAACGGGGTCTCTTTGTTACTGGGTTTCCCTCCAGGCCAGTCAGTGTGAGGCTTTGGTTGGTAGAGGCCAGCATGGCTGATTTGACACCAGACCTTTTCATCCTCCTCCTCCTCCGTATCTCCTCTGCTGCATTGTCACCCATCACCGAGAGGAGCCGGCGGCGCTCCCGGAGGGAATAATCGTCATGGATATTGTCACTGCCCACCACACTGCTGGGAGCATTGCCTGCTGGCCCTGCCCTCCCTGTGCCAGCCTGCTCAGGGGCACCGGTGCTCTCCACCTCCTGCTCCTCGTACTGCACATCATCCACGTTCCCCTCCTGGGAGCCTGCGGAATGAATCAAAAATGTTGACATGAACTGAATGAATGAATGAAATGAATGAAAAGAGTTACACCTCTGGCATCCTCCCTGAATGAATCGAGGTTACACCTCTGCCATCCTCCCTGAATGAATCATCCTCCCTGCCTTCCCTGCCCTGACCAGGCACCCACCAGGCAGGGGAGCAGCTACTTCTGGTCTCCTCTCAGTGTTGTCTCTCCTGCTCAGAGGGACAGGGATGCTCTCCCACGTGGGAGCTGTGCTCTGGCTGCCACCAGACCCCTCAGCACTCATCACCCACCACTGCCAAAGAATGTGGAGCTGTACAGTAGCACCCACAGCTGATCTGTGGGTTAGAGAGGGTTAATGAATGGGGTTTGTTTTGAGAAGTTTTCTCTGACCAAAGCTGTTGGCTTGGAGACCAAGAGGAGAAGAGGAGAGAAGAAGATAACCAGGTAAAAAAAACCAACTCTGCAGCTGTGGAAAGTATTTTGAGAAATGTCCTGGGAAGAATAGGGGTGGAGAACTTTCCACCAATGACTGCTATGTTGAATAATTGTGACCAATATGAAAGTGTAAACTGTATAGGGGGTATAAAAGATGGTGTGATGTTATAATAAACAGATATTAATTAGCCTTCTGAAGTGTAGTGTGCCTTTTGTACGTCGTGCCCACCCCTACAGTGACAGAGGTGTCTGGCTTTGCCCTGAGCTGTGGGTTTGGCCACAGCTCTGCAGGGCAGGTGTGACCAGAGGCTGCCACACTGCTCACCTCTGCTTGTGTTACTCCTGCCCATGGTTTTGCTAGAATTGCACCTTAGCTAAGGGTTTTCATGTTGTTTACTGCAGCCAGCTGTTTGGTGAGCTCCCAACCTGGCCTTAAGAGAAGTAAAAGTCACAGCAAAAGTCTCCTCCCAGACACAGCCACTGGCAGGGAAAGGCTGAGACTTCCTTGGCATGGGAGGTCAACAGCTTCTTTCAGCTGGTGCTGCTAGACCACCCACAAAAGTGACAGATTAAAGGATCCTCTGGGTTCTGGCCCCTACTTGGCTGCTCTGTCTTTTCTCCAGAGTCCAGGCTCTTCTCTGGCCGATCCATTTTCATGTACTTGTAAAACCCAAATCTGTAGAGAGAAGAGCAAAACGCAAGTGTGATGGAAGTTACTTTGCCCTTTCCTGGAAGAAGATCCTGAGCACAGGGAGGCCATAATCAGCTATCTTGCTGGGAAAGTGACCCTCCTTATCCTGCAAAAAAGTCCCCCTGAATGGCTGGGAGTCCTTGCACGAAGTGTCTGATTGTTGCAGTAGGGAGCATGCAAGTAGCAGCTCCCCTGTGGGGCCACCACTGGGATCTGGGCACCAGTAAAGATGAGTGACATGCATTTCTTCCCCCAGAGGGAGGCCTGGTGCTGAGCATGGTCTGGCTTTCACAGTGACAGCTATCAGGAGGCTCCAGCCACTGGCAGGCCAAGTTTACTGGGAAGAGAACAAACATGCTCTGACTCAGCTACTGGGTTAGCAGTGCAAGGAAACTGCTGGTAGACCTAAAAGCCCTTGAGACCTAAACATATTTTCACTTAAGTTATCAAAAGAAACTATAAATGCTTTAATGTTTTGCAAGACTTAGGGGATCTTTAAGAATTAAGAAAGTCCTACAGAAATGAGCACGAAATTCCACACCAATTCCAGCCTTCAAGCTCCTCCCCATCCTGCTTGTAAACTCAAATTTACAGCATGCTACCTTTCCAAATAATAGGGGTTTTCCTGGTAGAAGCATTTGTTGTCTTTCTCCATGTGGCTCAGGCGGCTGTAATCATTTGGGTAAACAAAGGATAAATGAACCTGTGAAGAAGGGAGAAAGACAAAGTGAAACCCTCACAAATGCCACAGACATCAGCCACAAGGTGACCCAGACATAGCTGCAGGATAACCAGCTGTCTTTAGAGGGAGCAGGAGTTGCTCACCCTTTGCCTCTCCAGTAGCAGGCTGTGAGAATGGAAGACAAAGGAAGCATGCTAGGATACACATATGCATGTGTTGGATCCCAAAAACCTGGGATTCTTGAACTTTCTGCACTTTATGGCACTGACCCCCTGGAAAACATTGCTTTTGGCCTGAAGCCTTAGAGAAGGCTTCTAAATTTAAGTGATGAAGTTAAAATCACGGGTGTGTAGTTAAATAGAAGTGTATGCTTTCACATGGTGAAGAGTTTTAAATTTGAGGTTTTTATAGTATAGTAATAAGTATGGGACAAGACAGAGGATTTTGGGTGGTGTCTCTTTTGGTCTTCTTCCTTCTTCTTGACTGAAGGTCATGGGAATTTAGTTATTAGGTTAACAGTATAAATAATATAGGTGTTAATTCTCTATTAGATGTTTAGCTTTAAAAGACCTTATAGCAGCTGGATCTTCCTCCATTTTCTTTGCTTCTAGCAGGTAGCCAGAAGTGCTGTCAAACGCTCTGTACTTTTTGATAAAATTTAATAAACAACCAAACCCAAACATGAAACAATCCGTTTCCATCGTATATTTGTTAATCCTAACTCTGAGTAAAAGCAGAAAAGACTGAAACAAGCCACTAATTAAGTGGTGCAAAACTCCCACCCCTGTTACATGCATGTGCCTTCTCTCCCTCAGCATCTGCCCAGCTCTCTGTGAGCTGAAGTCCTGCAACAGAGTGAGAACTAACTGGGAGAGAGGTATCCAAGTCCTCCTGGAGAGATGTCTGTGGCTTTAGTAATCCACACATACTAGGTGGAGAATGAAACCCCCAGCCATTGTGAGGCTTCCCGTGAAGACAAGTTCAGGCCCTATGGCTAACAGGACCCCTTCTTCCTCCTGGTGCATGCAACACCGAATTTCTCCTGGCTCAGAAACCCAACTTACGAACTGGAGCCCCTGGTAGCGCTGCAGAGGAAATCCATTCACCAGGTAGCTGGGCTTGTAGGGGCACTCGGGCAGCGCCCGGCGCACTCGGGACTTGCTGAGCAGAGGCACTGCAGGAAAAGGAACAGGGACAAGGGCTGCAGGAGGAGCCCTGCTGCAACCCATGCACCAGCCTAGCTGCTTCTGTCCCTGGGCTCTACCTATCCACGTGGAATACTAAGAAACAGATTAAACAAACCTTCCTGCACAGCTCAACTCTTCGCATTCCTTTAAGGCGCTTACACAAAAATATGCTTGGGGATGTTGTGTGAGCTGGGTACCAAGAATGGGGAGCTGGCTTTAGTCTGTGCTTTGTCTCCTACAGAGCTGCCATTTCCTCAGCTTCTTTGCAAGCCTTACCTTCATAAAGAGTGTCCCGGGGGTCAGGCTTCAGCATGTCAGCGGGGTGTGTCCTGCTGCTGGTGCTCCTGCGGCTGGCCAGCGTCTGCGGGATGTGCCCGACCTCATCCATCTTCAGAAGCGTCTCGTCTAGAAACCAGAGAGAGAACACAAGGGGGAGGAAGGGCCTAACTTGTTCCTTGTCCCAAAAAGCACCTCCCTCCAGTGCCAGCCCTTTCCAAATGGCATTGCCTCCATGGCAGTAATGTTGTCTCTGGAACAGGCAAAGGAAAGGCTCTGACCCAGAAAGTTGGAGATACAGAAGCTGTGGGGTGGGAGCAAGGTTTTCACTGAAAGCAAACACACAGAGTGATGAGTAGTGGAGGAAAATGACCTCCTGCCTTGGATACACCAGTGTATCCAGTGCTGAACAGGCCCCATGCTGGCAGGAACTACTGGACACCTCTGTATTATTAGTATGAAGTTTCTTTTCAACCAGTATTAAGTTTCTTTTCGAAGGAAATAAAGAAAGATGAATGGGAGGAGAAATCTGAGGAGCAAAGCTTTTGCCTGTGCTGGAAAAGGATCAGGATCTTGGGGAAGGACCTTCAGTGGCTGAGGAGGATGTTACTCCAGAAAGGGAATGAAGCCCCATAGTAAGCCAAGAACAACAGGAAGCTCAAATTCAAGACTGGGTATTGATTACATTTCTCCTTGGGTGCTGCTGTCACAAGACTTCATGTCTCCATGGATCTTACTCTAAAATGAGGGGAATTGAATAAAATATCCATGAGGGAAAAGCAATATCCTGCCAAGGGCACTGGTGTACAACTTTTGGGTACAGAACTACATGAGACCCCAGAAAGAATGGGATATCATGTGATGCAGCCAAAGGCTAATATGAACGAGGGAAAAGCTATGGGCAGCAGGCAACAGATTAAAAATGAGACTGCAGAACTGCACCTAACCGTGAAGGGATCTTCTGGAAGGTCAGTCTTCTATTCCACCTAACCCTAATTAGTAAGAAGAAAAGAACAGAAGGAAAAAGGACGAAGATGGAAAGCCTAGTCCTAGCCAAATGGGAGGTTTCAGAAAATACAGCAGCAGGTTGTGATCCAAGACACAGCAAACAGATGTCTTGATTACATCAGGGAGTCTTCCATGCACAAAAGGGCTGGTATGGAAAGAAGCCCAGAAATGTTGGAAGGCAACAGCAGTAGATATGGAAAGGGGGAATGCTGGCAGGGGAAACTGATGCTGACAAAGCTGGGTAAGGGTAAACAGTCAAAGGAGCTTCTTAACTGATAACACCATCACTCGATGTGCTAAGAAGGGTTTACAAAACAGGAGGGACTGGACTGATGTGTTTGCAGCAATCCAGCACCAACTCGAAGAGACCTGAGGCTGGTACAGAAGAAAGCAGCATCCCCTGCCATCACCAGTGCATCCTGTTGTGTTCAGGACCCAGACTGAAATCTGCTGAAATGCCACAGCAGCCCCTTCTCCCCGGCTGTGTCTGGCTGGCAGAATACCCCTGCAGCTCCCATGTTTTCGGACTCACTTTTCCCCTGGCTCTCAGCAAGCAAACTCCATCCTGTGCTACTCTCAATCCACAACACTTCTCACCTATGCAGACTCTCCTCTCTGCCCTTCCTCACTACCTTTAGACTATAATGCTCCTATCTTACTTCTGATTCTCCCATGTTTAATAATGAGTCACACCCTTGTCCAGAAGTCTTTCTCCTGAGCTGTCTCCACCTTTTTCTCCCAATGATGTGTATGCCTGGTATTTGCCTGGCTAGACAATGATTCACGGTGAAACACTGGATGCAGACACATTCAGGAAGAATGGGGAGGTGCTTGGGAAAGCTTGTGATGAAGATACTTACTAGCAAAAAGGGAGAGATATTGGGAGTCAATGACTTTGAACTTCGCTTCTGGGTCATTCAGTCTCCACTGGAACAGAGAAACACATTGAAATGAAGCACCTCTGGAGTTAACCAAACCTGAACAAAGGGAACACACTACCCCTACTGGGACTGAATTTACCCAGCAGCAAAAGACTGGGAATGAGCTGAGATCCCCCAGGACACATCCAAACCAGGAAAGGCCAAAAAGCTACAACAGACCCCAGAGAAGGCAGATCCATCCCAAGTAAGCAGAGGAAGGGGTCCTGACACATGGGCAGGACTGTCCCACACTGCAGTAGCTAAGGGCTCTGGAAGGGATAAGCTACATCTCATGCAATGAGGAGCTGAGGCCAGGGAAAGGAGGGAAATGGTTACAAACATCATTCCCGAGCTCTGTGGGGACACATATACGGGACCACCATTTCCACAGACTCACTGCTACTTCCACATGGTCTGTTCCTCTGTCATCCTGCTTGTGCAGCACCTCAAAGTAGTACCTGCCTGCCGATGACAACCTGCGAAGAACAAGGTGTCTGTCACCAGGAGCATTAAGGAACATTTCTTAGCTTGTCAGCAGACAATGAGTGGAGAGAACCACACCCATGAAACAACCTAATTCTCAGGGTAGGCAGGGTTAGCGCTGCCAAGAAAATCCAGATCCTGACAGTGAGATAGGTAGCTCCACTTGTGCACCTGGAGCACTCCAGACCCTTCTCACTTAATTCTGAATAATTCCCTCTCAGTGTTGCCTGTTGGGCTTTGGCCTCTGGGAAACCTGGCCAGTTCCAAGGCAGGAAGCTTGGGATATAGTTCATATAGGGGAGCCTGGATGTGCTGGTGGCTGATCGCTCCAGGGAAGAAAAATTCAGTGTTGCATTTCTGCAGTAAATCAGCAAAGCTTTGGAAATACCCCAGAGTAATCCCTTTCTCTGTATTGCTGAACTCTTCACGACAAACCTGAGAGCTTTTCCCTTGTTCTTGTGATTTCCTGGTCATGTGCAGAGGTGGCTGGGACTGAGGGACTTTGCTCACTCACCTCACCATGTTTGACTTCTGGCTTTGAAATTTCCCAAACTCTCCTGGTGCAGTCCACTCCTTCCCTGTCTGCCAAGAGACACAAGATGGCTCGAGTTAAGATGAGTTTCTTCCCTTGCTACTCCACTGACAATGATAAAAACAGAAAATTGAACTCCCCCTTCCCTCCAATTCCTCCTGATTTCATCTGTGAAATCCATCACCTGTGGACAGATTTAAGTCCCTTAATTGTGAACAAGGGACTCCCAATAGCAGCACCAAGAGGTAACTGGCTTAAGGTATCCGTGTCATACCCCATCTGCCATCATGTTGTCTGTAGCTGGGCAGGAAAGAAACCTGGCTAGTCCAAGGAAGCAGTAAGTCAGGAAGGTCTCTGTTCCCACAGAAACATTGAAGCCTCGATGGGAGAAGCCCTGCAGCATGCACTGTACCTTGCCCACACTGGCCAGCAGCTGGAGACCAGAGGGATTTTCATCTGGACTCAGCCAGAACTCGGCATTGTCATCTGCAGCAATGGCAAACTGGAACTCTCCTGCCGAGAGAGGGAGGGAGTAAGTAGGGCTTTGGGGTAAGGGCTTGTGCATATAACAGATCCTGCTCCTCTAAAATGCTATCTTTGCCCTTTTTCCTGGTGACACCATCCTTCCCTTTTGCTCCTATCACCTTCCTGCCTTTGAACCTCTCTGAATTCTCTTAACTCTGCTGTGACTGAAAACAAACTTCACAGATGTCACTGGATCACTGTCCCTCCTGCACTGGCTTCACCTGACATCTAACCTGGAAAGCTAAGAAGTCTGTGCAAAGCCACCCAACACCCCTTCTGCTTTCAGAGCAAAATCTTGTGTGAGATGCAGTGTTTGGATGGAGGAATGTGCACGTGGAGCCCCAGAGGCAGACAGAGGTGCCTGAGGCTCTCTCTTTGTTTGGGGTGATGGGGATGGCAGCTGCAGGGCAGTGACCGAGGGTGAGTGCCAGCAGGCTGCTGGGGACAGAGGGATGCAGCTGTGGGACACAGCTGGCAGCTGCTGCAGGGACATCAGTGATGTCATGGACAGTCCTGGCCATGCCAGGCAGGGAGGCAAAGCTCAGGGATTGTTTGTGCCCACACACACGCCACGGGGATGTGCATTCCAACAGCATTGTTATTTATCTAGCACTCCCCATCTGGCTTTTCCTTTCCACCCCACAAGTGAGGAGGCAGATGTGTTTCCAGTCATGCACACCACCCATGTGAGGGACCTGTTGTGGCACCAGTGGTTCAGCATCAGGAGGGGAGGGAGGGGATGGTGACAGGAGTCATGAGTGAAGGCACTCAGAACCCTCACCATCAGTGAAAGGATGCAGGTAGCCAAATATCCGGAGACCATAATTGGTCCATTTTGGGGACACGGCCAACTTCTTCAGCGTAGTTCTTGTCTGAAGTGGAAGAAGAAAAAATTCGTAAAAATAATTTTAGATGTGACAGGAACAAGGGGAGAATCAAAAACTCTGAGACAGCTGGGCAGAGGGTTTCCTCTGAGAGGAGGATGGGGTGCAATGGAGGCAGAGGGAAAAGAGTAAACCAAGTAAGAGATGAGGTGGAGCAGATGCTGCTGAGGAGGGAAAAGCTGCATGGGGGATGGCATTGAGATGGTGGGGACAGGACATGGCATGCCCTAGCCACTTGGAAGAAGAGCACCAAAAAAAGAGCTCCTTCAGACACCATGTCTGAGCCCTGGGATGTGAAATGATCCCCCCGTGCAGCAGAAGAGCTGCCACACTTGAGACCTTGTGAAAGCTTCCTGCTCCCTCAGGAGGAGCACAGAGCAGGTGGCTGAGAGGGAGGTGGTGGGTTTTAACAAAGAGGAGGACAGAGGAAGGCAGGGACAGGACGTGATCCACCTGGGAAGCTGAGCTGGGAAGTGCAGGACAGTGGATGTCATGGTCTTACTCACGTGAGGGAAGAGGGGGAAGTGGAGGTTTCTCCTGAGCTGCTCGATGGAGCTGCCACACCAGTCCTCAAACACGTGCAGGTTGGCCTGGCCCTGGAACTGGAAGGCAGAAGTGGGGCACCATCAACTGGTGCATCCAGCCCCTGTGTCCCTCCCCTGCTCCTACAGCCTTGGCCACAGCCCCAGTACCACAGTGCTGTGATCTGCAGCACCTGGAGCACAGCTGGGCTGGGAAAAGCTTGCTGGCCACTGTGGGACCCCAGCAACACACTCCTCAAAGGACAGACTTGATTTTTGTCAGAGCCCTTCAGAAGGGAATCACTGCCTGCCCACCAGCAAAGTCCAAGCTTTCTGCCTGCAACCAGAGGGGCTGGATGCTGAAACTCTCCTCGCAGGACTGGCATCCAACAGCCAAGAATAAATAAGCTGGAGACAGTACAAGCTGCCTTAGATGGCAAAAGGCTGAAGAAAGGAGTAAGTTGCCTTGGGACCAGGGAGGTTTTGCTAGGGCTGCCTTGCCTATATAAGGGCTGTGGGAGCAGGGCTGGGGAAACAGCCTGAACAGCACCCAAATGTCTACAGATGGCAGCAAATTCTCAGTTTTCGCTGGGGAGACTCGAGCAGGCCTGAAGCAGCACATTGCAGGAGGGTCCAACCTCTCCCTGCACTTCTGCCAGAGAAACTTCTTCACTGAGTTAATTTTTCCCAGGATGGCGGGCTGGGGATGTGTTTTGAAATAAACTGTGGCTTGAAGGAAAGCCACGAAGCAGATTTGGCTCAGCACCAGTAATGCTCCTTGCAAGCTGTGGGCTTTAGTCGTGCACGTGAAAACAATTCCTGTGTGTAGGCAAAGCACATTCACAAGCACTGCTGCTCTGGAGGGGTCTCTTGTCAGCCCTGGTGTCCAGGGTTGATGGATATCTGCAAGCCCACAATGCCCCCACTAACACCTCCTCCTCTTCCCTCCTCTGCTGACACCCCTCAGCCTGGATTCTGCCAGCCAGACAAGAGGAAAAGCAGCGAGACAAAGGCAATGCAATTCCTCACAGCAATGCACAAAATCAGAGTGGAGACAGACAGAGGGTTCAGGGGGATGGATGCAGCCCAGAGAAACCCAGGACTCTGCAGGAACTTGTGATACAAACAAATCACTGCAAGCGTGACAAACACTTGAATTGGAATTTAATTGCTGTGCAGTCCGTGCCCCTTGGCCAAATCCACGTTCACACCCAAGGGTCTTACACTGCTTTTCTCAGCCAAATCAAATAATGACAACTGCTGTTTATTGTGGAACCTGGAGTGAGAGGAACAGGCTGGGCTCCCACAGAGAGTCACTGCCAGGAACTGAGTCCTATGGAAGTCTGCTGCTACCCACAACTGCTGTTGGTTGGATTTTTTGTTTTTTTTTTTGGAGAATCGCTTGCACACGGCAGACAGCAGGCTCAGAGCTCTATGAAACGCAGCACAACACTCCCACACTGTGGACAGGCTGGCACTGCAGCCCGCTCCTGCCAAAGACAGACCCAGGGGATGATCTCAAAGCTCGGGACTGCCATGAAGCTGGGCTGGCTTTGACACGGGGCAGCCCAAATGCAAAACCTGATATTTATGAGGCAAACCCCAAAAGACTGGCTAGACTTGCTCAAATGTTTGCAGAGTAACACTCAGACCAGTCCCATACCAATTCAACACTTCACTGCAGTTTGAAGTGCAGTATTAGGGAGAGGGATGCCTAATAAAAAATAAGGCAGACACCACTGTACTAGGTGCACCACCAATACTTAGAGATAATTCCTGAAATTTCTAGCCCAACACTCCTGCCTCCAAAATCTTTACAAAGCCTCCAGAGAGGAGATTCTGGCAGGAGTTAATGAGATCACTTGGCTTTCCTGCACTCACAGGTACTAGAAATAATTAACTGGTAAATATTAAGTATTTTTCGCATGCAATTTTAAAATCTTTTCTAAATCAACAGATTTTCTCCTGAGTTACAGCAGCTTAACTTAGTTTCCTCTTAAAGGGAAAAAAAGAACATTATTGACAGATAAGGGCTGGCTGCCCAAAGTGCTGCTTTGGGACTGAAAACTGAGCTAGGCTTTAATTTTAGGCCCCCACAAGTCATCAGTGTAGCAGCTGTTTTGAAACTCTATCACCTCTGTCCCTTCAGCTCAATTCATAGCTGCCCATTACAGGCAGCTGAGAAATTCTTCTGTTCCCTATATGAGTATCCTCTCATGCAACATGCTGTAAAAATCTCCTGCTTGGGGCTTTTGCAGATTGCAGTTATAGAGCAACATCACCACTATTCCCAATTCCTACACACAGAAATGTCAGTGGATTTTCTAAAATGTGTTTTTTAGAACATGATTCCAAAACATGGTTACTATATTTGACTTCCCACCTTGGAATTACCTGGCCCTGTTTTGCAAAGGGCTGGAAATTCAGGACCTAGCAAGCAACAAGTTCCCGTTCTCCCCTTAAAAATATCTGATTTGAAAGATGTGGATAGACTGATTTGGCCAGAACCAGCAAGAGAAGCCATGAGTGAGCTTTCAGTGGCAGCTGGATTTATTGTGACCTTCCCATTTTGACGGCTTCTCCTGCCCAGGAGGTTTTTCTGTGTTCCAACACCTCTTCCCAGCTTCTTATCACCCTGCTGAAATAGCAGCAGTGCACGACCACAGCTCAGACCTAGAACAGCCCCAGGTCACACACCAAGGGCACTGCCAGCACAGGGTGAGTGTGCCCTGGGGCAGAGAACAGTGTGAGTGTGCCCTGGAGGAGAGAACAGTGTCAGTGTGCCAAGGAGCACAGCTCCTTGGCACACTGACACTGTTCTCTCCTCCAGGGCACAGTGTGAGTGTGACTTCGGTATTTCCACTTCCTTCTAATGAGAAATGTTGCATTATCAGCCCCTGCTGCAAGAACTGACCATAGAGGAGGATGAGGAATGCAGACAACCCAGACCCAATCACGTCCGAACTGTCCTGGGGTTGGCACCACACACCCAGGGGCTCCTGCTGAGCAAGGGGGCCAGGGAAGAAAGATCTGGGCAAGCAGTAAAGCTGAGAGGATTGCAGCAGCAGAGACACGACCTGCTGGCCTGTAATTGCAGCAGGATGGAGAAGAGAAGGCTTTCCTAATTTAATCCTTTTGGCATCACAGAGGCAAATCAGCTGCGTAGCTGCACGCAGCCCAGGGCATGATAAACAGGGCACAGAGAGGGCCTGAGCCAGGGAAGAAAGGAGACATTGTGCTGCCAGCGAGGAGCTCCTGAGCTTGTAAGACTCTTCTGTGTCCTCAGAGTGGCTACAGCCCCTCCTCCTGCCTGGCCCAGCTCCCCTGACTGGGTGACATTCAGCAGCCAGCAGCTGGGCTTGGCTGCACGCTCTGCTGAGCTGGGCACTTGTGGGAATCCATCAAGACAAGTGAGCAGCACAGCCCCTGTCTGGATGGGCACGAGTAGACAAGGGAGGGCATCAGCAGAGACAGAGTGAGCAGCAAGAGCTTTGTCCTTCAGCCCTCTCAGGAAAGGAGTCTTCCTCTTTGGGCAGGTTTGGTAGCAGGACAACACTCCAGCCAAACCCCTTGGTTTTGTGCAGCACCTGGACAGGTGCTCCTGGACATCCCTCACACCTCCCTGCAGAGAGAAGGAAGTCCTGAGGCTGTGCAGAGAGGAAGGAGGAAAGGACATTTTAAATGCACCCCAGCACTGCCCAGAGCTTTCTGCTCTCAGAGCTGAGCAGATGCTTTTGCAGAGGTAAATGGGAACAGTCTGGCTAACCAGACACTTTCCTGGAAGTTCTACTCACACCTACAGCAGTGTCAAATGGTGACACTCATATCCCACAGTGCAGGCACGTTTCTGAATTAATGAAACAAAACACCCCACATCTCTCCAGGCTGAGCAGGCCCTGGGTGATGCTGGGAGCTGGAAGAATTTGTTCTGATGCCTGGAAGTGATGGTAAGGACAGGGACCATCACAGGCATCTTGAGGAACCAGGAGCAAGGATGAACCCTCCTTTCCCCCAGATGCCAGAAAAAAACTTGATTTTGGGATTTCCAACGAGCACACTTCCCTACCACATTATCCAAGGCTGAAGACTTAAGCTGCCTATCTCATATCCTGAAACTGAGAGAGGAAAATTGAAACCTGTCCTTTTTTGGCAATGCTGGCTGCCAGCTCACCCTGCAAGCCTGTTAATTATTTATGTTTGTCAGGAATATGCCTCTCTATTCAAACCAAGACCAGCTCCCTGACCTGTGTGAGGCAACCTGGTGTCCCTCACCCCAGGAATCAGCCTGCAATTAAGTTATTAGAGATGCAGTGGGAAGGGCACAATGGGATTACAGACTCTGGGTAATTAATTTGGGCAGAGCCACAGCAAAACTGAATCCCCAGGCTGGGAGACATTTCAGTCAGTGGTTAGGAGCACAGCAAGCAGCTCTCTACAGAGTTGTGTCCATAAATCCCTCTTCACCTCCTGCAGCTGGTACTGGTGAACCACTGGTCTCTGTAGCCAGGGGGATCCTGCTGACCCTGCAGCAAGGCCAGGAAATTTTGTCTTATACAGCCAAAGAAAAAAGTGTCCAGGCCACAGTGTGCACCTCTAACCTGGCAAAGGCTCCCTGCACAGCAGAGCTGGCCACTTCCCAGATTCATGTGCTTTAGGAAATCTCTGGGAACAGGATCAGAGACACAGGGCAAAGCCTTAGGGAAGCTGGGAGATGCCACACAGAACCTGTATGGCTCTGTGCCATGGGAAGGGGGAGCAGCAAATGCTCAGTGTGTCATCCCTGGGCACAGCACAGCCCTGCCCCTGCCATCCCTCTGGCTCTTGGCTCATCTGGCAGCCCTGCATGCACAGAACTGCAGCTGCAGAACACCCCAGGCTCCAGCTGGCACCAGCACTGCAGAGCCCAGGCTCTGACCCACAACAGGTCAATGGTCTGCTCTGGTTCTGGGCTCTGGAAGGTGACTGGTGCTGCCAGGAAAGCCACAGCTCAGCATGCAGGGACCTGAACTGCTCCTTGCTGTGGCTGGATGAATACACTCTGCAGGGCCAGCAGCCGGCTTCTTCCCAGGGGAGCCACAGAGGCTCCTTAATTTGTGCAGGTCTCTAATCACCTTGAGGAATTTAGGAAGCTGGCTCCATTAACTAAATGCCCCCTGGCTGGTGTCCCTCTCATTAGGAGCAGGCTGCATTGCTCCTTTATCTGAAGAGGGATGATGAGATAAGGAAATGGGGGGAAAGAATAATTGAGGCACGAAGGAAACAAAGGAAGTGTTTACCCCGGCCTGCAAAGGTCACCAGAGAGGGTCTCTGTTCATGGAAGCGCCACTGAAGTGGAAAAATTTCCAGGTATGGCACGCAGGATTTGGATGGTAAAAGCCAGAGCAAGAGCAGTGTGACACTTCTGTGTGCCACAGCCACGCATTTGATTGCTGAGTGATTGGCCCTACACGCCCCAGCCCTGAATAAACTTCACTTTTCAGGAAGGTAGTGGGCTGCCCGGAATTGCAGGGGGGTGCTTGGAGCTTTGAGGACTTGTGGAAACACCAAATTATCTGGAATCTGGACACTCCAGTCTTTCCAGATGATTACTCAGGTCTGTAAGTGTCATTAAGCAGGGAGAAGGTGACAGGGAGTGGACTTCCAGTAAAGTGAATTAATTTCCAGGCATACTTCCCTGCCTTTCATTTTTTCTGTACAGGTCTCCAGCCATAACCCCCCTCACACAAAATGATGGAGGAAGGCACCCACCTCTGGCATCCACGGGACAGGGTTGTCCACAGCTGCATAATTTGATTTATTCCTCCCACCTATTTGCAGCTCTTGGATCTGAAATACAAGTAGATAAAAGTCAAAATAACCTGATAAATGACACAGCACTGACACGGACAAGATGGTTCTATACAAGCTCTACAAGAGGGTTCAAACCTTGTCACAAGAACATAATGAGAAAATAAAACAAGTTTTCAAGCTCCCTTTCCAAAGGGCAGGCCAGGTATCATGGACATAACGGGGTGAAAATGCTCCCTGGCTTTTCTGACACCACATTTCCACTGTGAGCTGCTGAGGGAAAAGGATTCCAGTATTTTATAACCAGCACAGAGTTAAAGCTTAGGTCATTCTCTGGTGTTTTTCCCCATCTGTGTTTCACTGCCTTCAGTCAGTGTTGGATCCCAGAAACCTGGGGGTTTTGGAGCTTTCTGTGCTTTCTGGCACTGACCCCCTGGAGAACACTGCTTTTGACCTGAGCCCTTGGAGAAGGCTTCTAAATTTGAGTGATGGAGTTAAAATCACGGGTGTGTAGTTAAATAGAAGTGTGTGATTTCACATGGTGAAGGGTTTTAAATTTGAGGGTTTTATAGTATAGTAATAGGTATGGGACAAGATGGAAGATTTTGGGTGGTGTCTCTTTTGGTGTTCATCTTCCTTCTTCATGGGTTCCAGGGAGTAGTTTCTGGTTGGTCAGTCAATGTCACACTGAAGGTCATGGGAATTTCATTATTGGGTTAAAAGTATAAATACTATAGATGTTAATTCTCTATTGGACTGTTTAGCTTTAAGAGACCTTGTAGCAGCTGCATCTTCTTCCATTTTCCTCACTTCTAGTAGTAGCTAGAAGTGCTGCTGAACGCTCTGTACTTTTTGATAAAATTTAACAAACCAAGCCCGAACACAAAAAAATCCATTTCCATCGTGTATTTGTTAATCCTGCCTCTGAGTGAAAGCAGAAGAAACTGAGACAAAGCACTAATTAAGTGGTGCAAAGCTCCCACTGCTGTTACACCTCAACAGAACTGAGATGTGCTTCACTGGAGAGCAATAAATTCTCTCCTGACTGTTCACTTCTGCTTCTATCTTGCCTTCCTGTGCCACAAGCCCAGCCAGCCTGGTCCCAGTGCTATGGCTTGATCCATCTAAAATAAAACTTCATTGACTGCAGTGGAGCCACTGTAGGCTCACCTTGCTGGGAGCCAGCTCAGATTTTGCCCTGTGGCAAGCTAAGCTCTCCTCCTGTGTGAAGAGAGAGCTGGGGCCAGCAGCAGAAAGGAAGGGCTGCCCTTCTGAATGCACAGAAGGCAGCCCAGGCATCCTCACCTGGGGTCCCAGCTTCTGTGCATAGTCCAGCTGAAGGTTTGTGTCCCCTCCTGGGACACTGGGGTCCGACAGAACCTTAGCCAGCTCCCTCCAGCTTTCATATCCTGTACAGAGGAAACAGAAAGGTGTCAGGGAACAAGGTTAAAAAAAGGTTACAAGGTTGAGAGACCTCTAACAGTCTGCAATGGTCCAGCAGAGACCAGGAGTTGTTTATGTTGCTTGGAGTTGGCAAACTGGCACAGAGAGAAAAACTGCCTTTATTTTCCTTAAAAGCTCTTCCATCCTTCTTATTAATTTAATACTTAAATTAAAAATTCATTATAGATCTAAAATATATATCAGAGATTTCATTAATCACCACAGGACTGGGAATTTTTTATAGATTACTCAGATAATCCCAGTAGTCAAACTAAAGAATATAATTTTTTATCAATTAGCAGCGCCAAAGAAAAATAAGACAATAACTAGATTAATAATTAAATTAACCATCAAAACCATATTATTCTTATATGCACCTGTTTTCACAATAAAAGCTTCAATTTTCTTTTCTTGGAGGAAATTATGGACACTCATCTGCAACGCCTAAAACATTGGCAGTGATGCAGTTAAGGACACTGCTATTCAAGTGAAGCCACGTTCCACCTTCAAAGCAACTTCATTTGAAACTCCCCTTCCCTCTCATTCTGCTCAATCCAGAAGTCAGGATCAATTCTGATTTCCTTCCAAAACTTCAGTGACCTCCTGGGTTTAGGAGGAGCAAAGAGAAGCAGATGCAGCACAGCCCTGTGCCTGCTGCCCCTGTCACTGAGGAGAGCTCAGAGCCCCCGGCAGTGCTGCAGTGCCTCACACAATGTGATTTCCAGACAAACATTTTGGCACTTAGGCACCAGGTGACCAGTGCACAGCAGCTCCAGCCTGAGGGGCAAGTGCCAAAACCTCCATCAGCTGCAGACCAGTTCAATACACCAGGGAGAGCAGCCAGGCTCTCCCCCAGTTTTCTTTACAACTGGAAGTCATCCCCAAAGCTCTAGGGACAGCCAAAGAAGTTGGCTGCCTTGGGACATACAGGGAACCATCCTGACAGCTTCAAGCCTGAGCATTCAGATGAATGGTCTGAGCCTTCTACACTTTTCCTACAGCCAGGAGTAGCAGGGAAATGCTCTGATGGGGAAAACCAGCCCACAGCTGGGGAAACATCTGCAGTTCCACAGCCAGCACACCCATCTCACCCAACCCACCCACCCACACCTTGCCCACCCCATCAGCTGCACGGACACTCTGTGCTGTGCCTTAGGCAGGAGCACGCTCCATCCTCGTGCTTTGGAGGGAGCTTTTACAAGCCACATGGCTTAGATCATCCCCCAAAACATCTCTGGGCCACACAGAGGCCAAGGCAAACCCCAAACCATCCACAGAATCCACCCACCATAGAATCCACAAACAGCCAGATCCCCCTCCCTGGCTGCACTAAGCTCTTCACCAATTATTTTAACTACAAACAGAGTTGAAAAACTCCTGTCTCTGCTTGCTCCTGAATCTGGGTCTCACAGGGTCTGGCAGAGGTGAGCAGAAAGCTGCCTCCTCTGGTGTGTTGATCAAAGGGGGCAATTAACAAAAAAGAAAGTGCAAAAAATGTGAAAAACATGAAAGTAGTCAGAGATTCAAGTGAGAGACAAGGCTCAGAGCCAGCTAGGGTGTCCTGCTTTCCTGGTGTGGGTGCTGGCTTGGATGTGTGAGCTTCATTCTCTGTTAGATGCTGAATAGTCAAAAACTTCTGATTAAGATCTTCTCACCCCCAGATTCTGATTTGAAACTCTGCATTTAAATTTATGACTAAAAATACCAAGGTCAGTATTTATCTTCTGCAGAAGATTTTTCAGTCACTGGGTGAGTAACCTACTGATTAATATAGCCAAGCACAACTTGTGCTTCAGGGACTGACTGTCATGGGAAAAAAAGGAGAAATTCCTTTGTCTTTATATAATTTTATGTGTAACTGCTGAGTTTCCCCCTTGTTCAGAGCAGTGAGGCAGAAACCACTGTTTTTGAGTGTCCTGCAATGGACACATGGCCCCACTTGGAATGGGGCTGACACAGACTTTGCAGCTCATGTGAAATTCAGCACTTGCTGCTTTGAGGGCTCCTTATAATAGTGGGAGAGAACAGCAGGCTTTTTTTTCAGAGACTAGACCCATAGAAGCACAGAATATGCTGAGTTGCAAAGGAGACACAAGGACCATGGAAAAATATCAGGGAAAAAATAAAAGAGGCAACAAAAGTCAGTTCACCCCAGGAGATTCACAGAGAGAAGACACCAAGAAAAGCACTTTTCTTTTGTGCAGAGGGGAGAGGTTATTTGGTTTCACCATTAAACTCAGCAGTTCACTGCCCTGAATAAGCTCAGGACAAAAAACCTGGCTCTTCTGGGAAGGGCTGCTGGCCACCAGAGCCACTCTGGCTGTTCCATGGCTGGCACAGAGCCTGCCTCCCAGCAAACACAGAAGCCTGGCTGCACACAAGTGCCAATGGCTGACATTTCTTTGACCCTTGGAAAAGAGAAGAAAGGGAGGCAATTCTCTGTGCTGTACAAATATTTACCTAACACATCAGCCAAGCACAGAACAGACAAAGGAGCTACGAATTAATCTGAAGGCAGTGATTTCCTTGCTGGGTAATTTGTGCTTTGGCAAGCCAATTCTCCAGCGTGGTAGGAAATGATTTTCAGAGTGTAATAGGATCAACACTCCCCTCAGAGAAAGTTCTTTGCACTCCAGTTCCTTCTGAAAAATTGGCTTTTCCCTGGGGGTCTCCAGGGGAAACCCTTGGAGAAGGACCTGGTTTTGCCCATGCTTTTCTCACTAAAGGGAGGACAGAAAACACAGATCTCCTGCAGCTTCCTGCAGTCAGAACATCTCCTGAGGCCAGGTGCTTTCTCCACAGCACCTGCCACAGGATTGAAGACATGGCCTTGCAGGTCTCCTCTGCTGTGTGGCAGGAGTGTGACACTGCTGTCTCAGGAGCACCTGGGCAAGGTGATCCACCACAGGTTCAGCCTGTCCTCAAGCTCTCCATGAGCACTGCTCCTTGGCTCAAGCACTCTCTTGATGGATACTTGAAGTCAACAAGCCTACACCTGGAAAAAAGCAGGAGTCAAGAACTAAAATATTTCAGCAAACACTTCAGTGTTGCTAAGAAGGAATGCCAGAACTATCAGCTTTGATGGTTTTGCGCCAGTCCCTCTACAAAACTGGTTCTGGCTACGATGTGAAAAGGCAGAAAAACCACAGAGACAGAAATCAGAGGCTTGGGAAGAGGCTGCCTCAAAGCCAGGGGAAGATGCTGGGCCAGTCACTGGTGCCATGAGTCTGTCAGACAGATCCACGAGCCAGCTCCTTGCCTGTCTTCTGGGCTTCACTTCCCAAAGCATTTCCCATCACTTCCTCAATCACACCAGTTGTTTTCCAAGGCTATTTTTTCACCTCAAACACCTCCAAGGAAGGCAGCACCTATGCAAACACAGCCTGCCAGCAGCAGCAGCCAGGCTTGCTGCCACATACTCCCCTCTCCTTGGCATCAGTCTGATCTCTCCTTTCTGCTTTTGCACCCAATTGATTCAAGGTTCCAGTCTCACAGGGATCAGCCAAAAACATGAAGGTGGTTCTCCTTCTGAGAAAAGTGGTCCTTTTTGTCCCTTTTCCCAGCAGGCTGGCTGGCAGATGCCTGCTGAGGATCCAAATGCCCAGCAGGGCTGACCCTCAGCTGCTCCTCTGGATTCACGATGGGAAGCCCTCAGGACCTGAGCTTCCCACTGGAAATAAGAGGCAGGTGAATACAAAGACAAGGCAAAGAAGCTGAAGGGGAGGCTGAAAAAAGATGCTGCATTTTACAGCAGAGCCCCTACAAGAGGCAGCCAGTCTGGAGCCAGTTACCCACAGCTCCAGTGAATCAGCCATTAAGAGACAGAAAAGCTGTACCAAGAGAAAATAAGATAGAGATGATTCTTGCCTAGGGTCTGGTCAGGTGTGAGTGCCATGTCTGCCTCTTCTCAGCCCTGCTTTTTACTGCTCTTGGGTTAAAAGTCAGCAAAGAAAGCTGCAAGTGGAGATGGAGAGATCTCACCCCACACTTAGGACTCTGCCAGAGCAATGCACTTGAAGCCCAGTTCAAGAGGAAAAAAAAAAAAAAAGAAAAAGCAGAAAGCCACAGCCAGAGATAAGAGGCAGCAGTACCCAGGGAGCTGTCAGGCCTCGGGGCAGGAGTGTGACCAGAGCTGCTCTGTGTGTTCAGAGATTAGATCCACCCAGCCCCTGCCATGCCCCTGGCCGCAGACAGCTCTCCACATTTCAATTAGCCTGTGAAGATACCTGGCAATTGTGCAAGGGGAAATCCCAGACCCACTCAGGTGATCAACTTGCCTTCTGAAAGAAGAGATTTGATTACTCTGCTGTTGTTACTGCTGCTTACATAGCTGCAAATGCTATTAACACCCACATGCTAGCCAGCCCTTTTGTAACCCTGCTAAATGGCTTCACTCAGCAGCCTCAGGAAAGAGCAGGTCCACAGGCACAAAAGCATTTTCCTTCTTATCTGAGACCCTTCTCCTCTTCTTTTTGTTGCAAGGATAGGGCAAGAAAGAAACTGGCAGGAATGAAGCAGGGTGTGAAGCAGCATCCACAGACCCCTCATCGTGGCTTGATGTTTTAACCCTCCCTTGGATGGTCTTATTTCGCCTCTTATCCTGGTTGAATATTTTCCATTTACTTTTATTCCATGGGACTTCAGCATCATTTTAGGTCTTTCCCAGTGTTCCTCCTGGCTGAACTGGTATGCTGGTGCAATACCCAATACTCCCAGACATTACCACCAGGTGCCTTGCAAACATACTAGTCCAAAAGATGCTGGTGAAGATTGTTTGAAACTGAACACAAGAAGGTGTTTAGAGAGTTTGACATGCATTTCAGACACCCTGACCAGAGCAAACCCTACTGCTGGTGCCACTGCATAGGAGGCAACACCCATCTCCTGCCTACCACACACACCAACACAGCCCCACAACACAGAGTGCAGAAATCATGAGGATGAGGTGTAACCTGACCTTCTGCAAAGAGAGCTGTGGGTGAAGGATGCACTGAAAAGA